TCACCGTTACCATGAGAACCATGAACATCAGCATCATCATCAGCATCGTCCACGACATGCCCATCATCAACAACCATAACATAATCGTCGGTGTCCTCATCATCGTCATCATCATCAGCAGCATCATGACCCCCATCAGCATCATCAGCAGCAGCAGTAACACCATCATAATCATAAGTAGCATCATCGTCGTCGTCATCAGCATCCCCATCCTCATCCTCATCCTCCTCATCATCATCTTCGTCATCAGCATACGCATCATCATCATCAGAATCCTCATCATCGTAATCGCCATCGTCCTTATCGTCGTCGTCGTTGTGGTCGCCGGGGTCGTCGTCGTCAAAAACACCAGCACCGCAAGCAGCAACGGCACGCTGCCTTTCGCCTCCTCCCCCTCCTCCTCTTCATCCTCCTCCTCTTCCTCCTCCTCCTCCTCCTCTTCCTCCCCCTCCTCCTCCTCCTCCTCCTCCTCCTCCTCCTCCTCCTCCTCCTCCTCCTCCTCCTCCTCTGGTCCTCGAGAGGTGCTCCGAGGCAGCCACGAGCACCAGCGCGTGGGAGCCCCCGCGCCTGCGGGTGGCGTCGCCCGGCTGGACGAGGACCTGGCGAGAGCCGCCGCCGCCCTCCTCCTCCTCCTCCTGGTCCGCCTCCTCCTCCTCCTCCTCGTCCTCCTCCTCCTCCTCGTCCTCCTCGTCCTCGTCCTCGTCCCTCCTCATCCCTCGCCCTCCTCCTCCTCCTCCTCCTCCTCCTCCTCCTCGTTAGCGTCTTCATCACCATCATCATCGTCATCGTCGTCAGCGGCGGCGTCGTCGTCATCACCGGAATCACCATAATCATCACAGCCACCAGCATCATCACCACCACCACCATCATCAGCATCATCGTCAGAACCATCATAATCATCATCAGCATCAGCATCAACAACATCACCAACAACAGCAACTGCAACAGCATAATGACAACAACAACAATCATGTTAAGACTGTTCGCTCTTGTCTGCTCGAGTGTCATTCATCGTGTAATTCCCCAATCATCGATACCCACACTCTTCGTCTTCGATCGTACCCCTTTGGGGGGGTATATCTTTCTTCGCCGGGCCCCGGCAAGCGTCGGGGCGGCCGCAGACGGTCGGCCTGGCCAGCGGCAGCGCTGACCGGCGGCAGCCCGATCCCAAAAGAGACGGGCAGGGAACCGACCACGACGACGACGACGACGACGACGACGACGACGGCGACGACGAGGACGACGACGAGCGAAAGCGAGAGCGAGAGCGAAGGCAACAGCGGGGCCACGAAGGGCAGGAAGGGGCAACGGAGGGCGACAGCGGGGTCACGAACGGCATGCATATGGGGCCACGAAGGGCGCGAACGAGCGAGGGCCACGAAAGGCAAAAAATGCGGGGCCACAGAAGGCAACGACGGAGCCACTGAGGGTAGCAGCGGGGCCACGTAGGACAGCGAGGGAGCAACAAAGGGCGACAGCGGGGCCACGAAGAGCATGCGTATATGGGGCCACGAAGTGCGCGAACGAGCGGGAGCCACGAAGGGCATACGTGTATTCGGCCGCAGAGGACAAGGACGGGGCCAGAACGGGGCCACGACGGGCAGCGAAGGGGCCACGAAGGGCGACAGCGGGGCCACGAAGCGCATGCATATGGGGCCACGACGGGCGCGAACGAGCGGGGGCCACGAAGGGCATACGTATATGGGGCCACGAAGGGCAACGAGGGGGCCACGAAGGGCTGCAACGGGGCCACGACTGGCAGCGAGGGGGCCGCGAAGGGCTGCAACGGGGCCACGAACCACGAAGGGCTGCAACGCGTCCACGAAGGGCAGTGGGGGGGCCACGAAGGGCTGCAACGGGGCCACGAAGGGCAGCGGGGGGGCCACGAAGGGCTGCAACGGGGCCACGAACGGCAGCGAGATCCAGATCCCTCCGTAAGCTGCGAGGGGGTCCTAAGCGTGAGCGCGGGACTCCTGGGTGCCTGAGTGTCGGGAGCGCGGCGCTTGAGTAAATTGCGGGGAATTCCAAAGCAAGCGCGCGACTCTTGAGTAAATTGCAAGCAAGTCTCCAGCGAGAGCGCGACTCCAGAGCGCCGAGAAAGTGTTTCCTGAACAAATTGCAAGCAGGTCTGCAGCGAGAGCGCGACCCCTTTTCATAATTACACCTGAGAGAACCAATAAGTGGATGATTTGAAAATTGATTTTATGAATCTTGAAATCGATTGCGAGCTCGATAATGAAATCGATAACCTGGTGCTCCCGATAATCATCCCCGTGGGATGATAAAGTTCGGGGGTCTGGCGGGGATAATCGACGATGTGCCCGGGGAAGGTTATGCTAGTTAAGTTGTGATGGTGATGATAACGATAATGATGGTCCCACAGCCCTGCCGCACGCTCGTGATTGCGGAAGCTGAAATGGTGAGACCACCATGGCCATGCTCAGCGTTTTTGAAGCTGCTGCTAGTCAACATGCGATGATAGCAACTTCGATTAGCAACTTCCCCCAAGGATTATCAAGTTCGGCCTCCGCCCCCCTCTCCTCAATTAAATCCGAATGTCACGGGTTAAAAAAAAAAACAGAGGAGGCAAAGGGGGGAAACATTTTTATCGGGGCACAAGTTTAGTGGAATCGATAGTGAGGACGATTGTACAGTCGATCGTGAGACCGAGAGATCGATAGTGAGATAGGTCGCGAGATCACGCATGCGATCTCTAGTGAGATCGTTTGTGAGATCGATAATGAAATCGATTGTAAGATCGATGGTGGGATTAAGAAGTGGGTGATAAGATCGATGGTGAGACCGATGGCTGATGTTGAACTCCCATTACTAAAGATTTACAAAAATACACCTGACAAAACCAGTGGAACATTTGAGAATTAATGTTATGGGTACAGAGATCGATTGTGAGATCGATAATGAGGTCGATAGCGGAATCGATAGCGAGGACGATTGTAAGGTCGACCGTGAGACCGAGAGTGAGATCGGTTCAATGAGATCGATAGTGAGATCGATCGCGAGATCGCTCATGCGATCTCTAGTGAGATCGCTTGTGCGATCGCTACTGAGATCGATGGTGAGATCGATAGAGAAGTGGGTAATGAGATCGATGGTGACACCGATCTCTCTGATCCCCCCTCCGGTGACCATTGTGTTTTTCAATTGAAAAGCCTCCCTCTTGGCACGCACCTGTGTTTTTTGGTGCCATCAAGGAAAATCACTCGGCTCAACTGCGCCCCTGGCCCCTGGATTACAACCACAACGGCTCTCGCCTGAGACTTCCTCACAATTTAGCCAGGACCCTTGCTTCCGTCTGAGAGTTCCTCGCATTTCCCCCAATCAGTGCTTGCACTGAAGGGGTCCTCGCGGAAGTTGAAGGATTTGGCGAAAGTGTCCCGCTGATTTTGGTCGAACGCTGGGTTCCCGGGTTCCCGGTTCCGGGTAACAAATTACGCTCGCCTGCCCTCCCAGGCCACCCTGACGGACAGCATGAAGGCGATGCGATGCACCTCATTTTTTCTAAGCTGTTGCAGCCGAGGATCGTCGACCTCTCTAGGGGCATAATCGCCGGGGCTCGGGATGAAATCCCCGAGACCCCGCGCCCCCCGAAATGCGATTACGACCCGCAATGCACTGCGACGCTCGGCCGGAAACTGGGAGGCGCGAACATGCGATCACGACCCGAAAAACTGAGAGGCACGACCGGCGCTGGCGGACGTCCGCCAACGGCGCCGGGTGCCGAAAACTGAGAGGCACGAAAGTGCGATTACGACCCGAAACCTGAAAGGCACGACCGGCGCTGGCGGACGTCCGCAACTTGCGCTGGGTGCGAATCTGGGGGCGCGCTGGATGGCCATGCCAATCAGCGGGCGCAATCCCCCGCAGCTTCCCTGCCGGCCGCGCGCGCGCCCGTCATCGGCACAGGGGGGGAATTTGGGGAACGAGCTGCATGGCAAACCCCATCAGCGAGCCGAGCCCCCCCCCCCCCAGAACCCGCCCCGGACCCAGCGAAAGGGGCAACTTCCCCCACTGGAGCCGCCAATGGAGCAGCCACCAACTATGACCCCGAATTCCCGCGCACCACGGGTGGGGGCTAGCGGAAAATGTCCTCCCAGCGTCGAGCGCCGCCGCGTGGGGCACTCCCAGGGGGCGAATGACAAATAGGGATGGCGAGGCGACGCTAGAAGGCCGAACTTGCGAGGGAAGGGGAAAGGAGGAATGAGGATAATGAATGATAGACGCGATTTGTGGGCAAAATTGGACCATGGCCTCTCGTGGCAACGAAATCCCCGCGCCCGAGCCCCTGAACGTCCCCACCCTCCGCTGGCGGCTGGCTCAATGCCAAGCGGGGCGGCGGACAATCCGCGACCCACGCCTGCCAAATCACGTCGAGTGCCGGCGGGGGAACGGCCTGAGCGGCCAGCAGGGCTTCGGGGAGTGGCGCCGGCGGGGCCGCCTCGATTCGAGAGAGGGCGCCCGCCCATAAATTTGCCTCCTTTGGCAAGTGTTCCACCGAAAAACTCCACTTGAAAGCCGCCTTGCGCCAAGAGATCTCCCGCGTGACTGCGTTGAGCTCTCGGCGGCCGCGCAAGTGTGCGGCCGCAGTCAAAGCGCCCAAGTTGTCTCAAAAGAAGGTGTTGGTCGACAGCAAATTCGTCTCCCCAGACTATCAAACAGAGGAGCGCCGTGATGCTCTCCCACAGCGTTTGCCACTTGGAGCAGCCAACCACTGCTCCGAATCGGTCGCGCACGGACCTGTCCCACGAGCAGTGGAAATAGCGAGCGGGACGGCCGTCTTCGACGAGGACGCCGCCGCCGCCCCACGGTGAAGCGTCGAATTCAATGTGCGCCCGCGCAGCTGGCAGACGCACGGGGTCCGGCGACGCGTGCACAATGCGACGCAATGGCAACACCGACCCGCGAAGCAATGCCAAAAACCACGCTGCTGCCGCCGAAAACCGACGAACAGCGACGCGCCCCGGTGGTGCTTCAGGCCGGGCCGAGTTAGCCGCCGACTCGGCGGCCGCCAACGCAGCCGATAATGACCCTGCGAAGGGAGTCGCGTCCGGCACGACTTGTGCAATCCGGGCAGCTTTCCCGACGAGTGACCGGGCTTTGGACATCGGCGCGACCCCGCCCCGCTGGGCGAACACCTCCAGCAGCGACATTGTTTCCTCAAGAAACTCAGCTGGGATGGACATGTGCGTCACGCCGTCCGTCACCTCGAAATCGATGCCAATCCACCGGTGCGGGCCCGACGCGAAAATGCCCTTCGACCAGGCCAGGCCCAGGCCCAAGGCCAACCACCATGCAAGGACAACGTCCGCGTTGAGCTGCGCGTCTGCGCCCGTGCCAGCGAAGGAGAAGGCGGGGTCGTCGACGCGCAGTTGAAGGCGGCCACAGCTGGCCGGGACAAGGCCCTGGCTCGAACGAGCGACCGCGGACGCGAAGCGGCAATATACGAGGGGGTTCGACTTGCCCCCGAACCCGAGCACCCGCCAGACGATCACCCGGCCGTGGGTGCTGGAAGGCGGCTCCTTCAGCACTGCCACGTTGAATCGTCGCTCCTGTTCATGGAGAGGAACGCTCATGAAGGCGTCGTTGAAATCCAAGACAAGAACCTTGACGACGCCCCCCGCGACCCGCGCTGCGCGCTCCGCCAGGAGAGCCAGATCGACGCCGCGGTCTACCCCCCGCGGCAGCACTACCCTCTCGTGTGTAGACGAAGTGAGGTTGACAGAATTGGCTTTTAAATCTTGGATAATCCTGTTCTTCACCGCGCCGTCCTTCTTGACTTTCTGGACGTTCCCGAGCGGAGCAGGGAAGATCGGACCGAGTCTCGCCTCAGCCGCCGCTTCGTCTGGGAACGTGTCCGCGCACTCTTTGGACAGATACCCGCGGATCAGTTCCAGCGTCGGCGGCTCGCCTTCCCCATAGTTGTCCTCGAAGGACGGGTGGTTCGCAGTGAACGCGAAAGGCTGCGCTGCCAACTCGTCCGGGTTCATCGTGCGAGGCGACTCGGCTAGGGGAAAATGGCCCCCCGGAGTAATCTGGCGCATAATTCCCATAGGGGCGCCCGACTCCAGCCACGATCCGACCGCCGCGTCCGCGTCCCGGGTCAGCGCGAGGAACTGCTGCACCAGCCGGTAGCGTATCGGGGACGCGCTGTGGGCGAGATCTGCCTCGCCCTCCGGGAGCCCCAGTGCTCGCCCGACGGCGGCCCGGAGGCGGCGGATCGCCTCCTTGGAAGGCGGCGATCGGGACGGCGATGCCCCGCAGCACTCTGTGAGACCACGGAAGACTGGGTCGCTGCTGCGGATAGCCACGATGGCCTCCCGCACACGCCGCATGACGTCTCCGACTTCTGGCCTGGCAGCAATGGCAAACGTGGCATTCCGCATGCCAGCTGTGCAGCGCATGTCTTCCCAGTGCTTCTGCTCCCTCCGGCTCTCCTCGTCAGCACCGAGGCTGCAGTGGCGGCGCGCTGGCGCGCGCTCCGCCAGCGGCCCTTCCGCCAGCGCCGGGCCCGCAGCGGGCGCGAGATGGCATGATGAAGACGACGAGGATGATGCAGGAGGTGGAGGAGCGGAGGAAAAGGAAGCAGGCGGAGCTGGAGACGCAGAAGGTCGTGGAGAAGTCGGCGACCCCCCTGCCCGCCGCGCCGACAGTCGCGCCCTCTGCGCCGCAAACGCCACCGACAGTGCTGACAGTGACGCGCTCAGCTTGGCCAGCTTGCGCTTCCGCCCAGCAGCGGGCGTGTCTGCCAGGACTGTTGCGCTGGCACGGCCACCCCCCGTACTCCCGCAGCCTGCGGAAGGGGGGCCGGCAGCTGCGGCAGCAGGCGAAGGGAGACTCAAACCCCCAGCCGGCCGCCCGTCCAGCGCGGGCGGGACCGGCGATCACCCGCTCTTGGGCCTCCAGCGCTTGGGCCTCTCCGGGGCCGGGCAGGAATCGTCGATCGACCGATGCTCTCCCAGGCACCACTCGCACCTGTGGGCGCGGCCCTGCGGGCAGGACCCAGGCTCGCACCCCGAGGCCTGGCGATTCCAGGAGAAGCAGAGCTCCTTGCCCTCAAAGCGGAGGAACCGGCCGTCCTTCCGCCGCTCCAGGCTAGCTAAGCCCTGCTTCTTGTCCTTGGTCCTGGCCTTCTTCGGCGCCGGTCCCGAGTCCGAAGCGCCCCCGGGGGCCGCCGCCGGCTCCGCCGAAGCGCCAGCAGGCGCCAGGGCCACGGGCGCCTTCGACACCATGAGGCATAGTTTATCCACGTGCTCGTACCACCAATTGGTATACGGCCCCGTGTCGGACTTGGCGCTCTCCCTGATCACAGCCTCCCACGGGCGGTCCTGCACGAAGCTGCCGCGGTAGGTGTTCTCAGCGACTTCGGATTCGATGCGCCTGCGAATGCGCTCCCACCTCTCGGATCTCATCTCGTCGTCTGCACGGGAGATGATGCCCCAATGGTTCGGGAAAGCCACGCTGAGGAGCCGCATCCCCTCCTCGTACTCGTCGAGCGGCCCGGGCAGGCACGCCTGCAAAGTGAGCATGGCCGTGCGGAAGACCCTCCAACACTGCCTCCACGTGTCGAAGGAGGCCGGACCCTTCACCTGGCGCGTCACGAGCTCGCCCCCCACGAACACCTGCGCGGTGAAGCGGAGCAGCTTCTGCTGCTGCTTTCCGAACGGCCCCCAGACCGCAAGGTCGGTGTAGGGTGCGGCATCCTCCCCCAGCACCGCCGCGAGCGCCGAGAGCTGCTCGGGGGAGGCCTCCTCGTGCTCCCGGGGAGGCCCCCCATGCGTTTTCTCGAACTCGGCCGCGAACTGGCGAAGCTTGGGCTCCGGAAGCATCTCGAAGTCACGATCGTCACTTTGATCGATGAATCTCGAGCGCTTGAGCTTCCGAGTGTTGCTGCTCGCCGCCGCCGCGGGGCCCCCGGCCCCTGGACCTCCTGGACCTCCTGGCCCTCCTGGACCTCCAGGACCTCCTGGACCTCCTGCCGGCTCCAGCGTCCTGCCGCCAAGGGTCCCGAAGTCGGGCGGCGCCACGCCCCCAACCTCGGCGACCCGCTTGAGGAATCGAATCAATGAGCCTTTCTGCAGGCCCGTGAAAAGAGCGCCCTCGAGCACGCAGGCATCAAGAGCCCCGTTCAAATCCGACATGCGCACCTCCAGCAAAACCGTGACTGACAACTCCTCGTATTTGCCCCCGAGCTGCTCCACGAAGGCGGACACCATCGCGGGGTTCCCGCCCAAGGTGGCGGTGAGCGCCTGCACCCGAAGCGGCACGGAAGCTGGTGGCCCGCCGGCTTCGACTCCCAGGCCGCCGGCCGCGGGGCGGATGGTCGGAGTAGCCGGGGCACCCCCTCCAACTGCCGCTCCTCCCTCCCCGAACCACGACATCGGACGTCCCCCCGAATGGGTCGAGGGAGAAAGGAGGAAAAGAATTGGGCCTTCGTCCCCAAAATCCCTAGAGCCAAAATGGTAACGGTGCCATCGACCGCTCCATTTGTTCCTGCCTGCACACGTGCACTCCCCTCCTGGGATCCCAGTTCAGGGTTCCGGGCCGATTTCGGAGGGCGGCGATGTTCCCGGGTTCCCAGGTTCCTGGCCGATCTTCTTATCGATCGGTGTCACCATCGATCTCATTACCCACTTCTCTATCGATCTCACCATCGATCTCAGTATCAATCTCACAAGCGATCTCACTAGAGATCGCATGAGCGATCTGACGATCGATCTCACTATCGATCTCATTGAATCGATGTCACGCTCGGTCTCACAATCGACCTTACAAGTGTCCTCATTATCGATCTCACAATCGATATCAAGACCCATGGCATTAATTCTCAAATCATCCACTGATTGTGGTTTTCTCAGGTGTACTTATTATTCGTCAGTAGTGAGAGATCAACAGCAACAACTTCGTCAGCACCATCATTATCTTCCTCTTCTTCATTCACAGCATCATCAGCAGCAGCAACAGTGGCACCATCATCAGCATCATCATCAGCATCACCACTGGTCATCATTCCCACTCTAACGTCTCGTAGTCCTCCACCTCCTCCACCCCCCCTCCATCTCGCCCTCCTTCTACCCCCCCTCCCCTCGCGCCCCACTCGGAGTGATGACGATTCCAGCGCGTGGAACCCAAGCAACTGATCAAGTGAGTGATATATGCGATGTCGTAGGAGTATAGGGGAGGCAAGGCCTGAGGAAGCCAAGCAGGCATAGGGGCTGTCAAGCCATAGGAGGCCGCGCATCCACAGAGGCCCGGGCATTCACGGCACGGCTCGACAACCAGGCCATAAGGCCGTCGGAGACCTTGGGATGCCACGGAGACCAGGCACAACCGGCCGGCCACGACAATCCAGCCACGGGAGGCCGCTGGCGGCCACGGGAGGCCACGAGAGCCAGGTCCAAACGGCCGATCCAGACAGCCAGGCCTGGCAGCCCGCAGGAGGCCGGGCGCGAGCGGCCGACTCCGACAACCGGGCAACGGTGTGCCAGGCACGAGTGGCCCGCCCCGACTTTTTTGGTCTGCGGGTCGGGAGCGGGCCCCTTCCAGTCAAGGGCTAAACGGGGCGCGGGTAGCCCTAATTGGGGAGACAGGGCGCGGGCGGGCGGGGCCTCAGGTGGCCGGAGGGCTCAGAGTACAGGCGGTGCCGAAGATCTTGCACCACGGCCCGCCCCGACACGCAGGGGCTGCTCCCGAGAGAACGAGTAAGGGCACCGAAGTGCACGCGCGTTTTGGGCTACAGTGATCATGTGTCCGACCTGCTCGCAGGCTAGACACAAGAACACCTGAGAAAGCAGCAAGGCAAGGCCAAACAACGCTGTCCCAGACAAAACCAAGCAAGGGCAGAACAGAGAGGACCAGACCAAGCAAACAAGAAACAGACTTCCAAGGAGGCCTCCTCAGAGAGCCCAGAGAGGCCTCCTCAGAGGGTCCCGAAAGAAGCCTCCTGACAGGGCCCGATGGAAGCCTCCTTTCAGGGGCCTGAGAAACTCCCTCAGAGGGCACCGAAAGAAGTCTTCTCAGAAGGAACTACGGCCCCATCAGTGCCCAGAGGGCTCATTCAGTGGACCTCAGACAGCTCCCCAGGAGAAAGTCTCCTCCATGTCCTCCATCTCCTCCTCCTCCCCTCCTCCTCCTCCTCCTCATCCTCCTCGTCCTCATCCGCCTCCTCCTCTTACTCATCCTCCTGATCCTTCTCGTTTTCCTCCGCCTCCCCCTTCTCCTCCTCCTCCTCCTCCTCGTCCTCATCATCATCATCATCATCATCATCATCATCAGCATCATCATCATCATCATCATCATCATCATCATCATCATCATCATCATCATCAGCATCAGCATCAGCATCAGCATCATCGCCATCGTCATCATCATCGTCATCATCATAACCATCATCACTATCATCATCAGCAGCATCATTAGCATCATCATCTTCCTGTCTGTCTGTCTTTCTGTCTGTCTGTCTGTCTGTCTCTCTGTCGGTATGTTCCTCCTCCTCCTTCTCGTCCTCCTCCTCCTTCGCCGCCTTCTAGTCTCATCACCACCACCACCACCACCACCATCATCATCATCATCATCATCATCATCATCATCATCATCATCATCATCATCATCATCGTCGTCATCATCAGCAGCACCAGCATCATCATCATCATTATCAACATCATAACCATTGTCATCATCCTCATCAGCATCATCAGCATCGCCGTCATCATCATCATCATCATCATCATCATCATCATCATCATCATCATCATCACCGTCATCAGCATCACTAGCATCATCATCAGCAGCAGCAGTATCATCATCATCATCACCATCATCACATTCATCCTCGTCCTCCTCCCCCTTCCTCCTCCTCCTCCGCCTCCTCCCCCTCCTCCGCATCATCCGTCGTCTGACAATAATCGTCATCCTCATGTGCATCGTCGTCGTCAGCATCATCATCCCCGTCAGCATCGCCATCATCATCATCATCAGCATCACCGAAGCATCAGGCCATCATCGTCATCGGCGGAATCGTAATCATCGGCGTCACCATCATAATCAGCAGCATGATCATCATCACAACCACCACCACCACCACAAACAACACCATCATCATCATCATCATCATCATCATCATCATCATCACCAGCAGCATCATCATCGTGATCGTCGGCATCATCACCATCATCAGCATCATCATAATCATCAGCGTCAGCATAATCATCTTCATCAGCGTAATCATCCTCAGCATCATCATCCGCATCAGCATCATCATCAGCAGCATCATAATCACGTCATCAGATGCAGTAGCTTCATCATCATCATCATCATCAGCAGCAGCAACGTCATCCTCCGCATCAGCATCATCATCAGCAGCAGCACCACATCATCAGATGCAGTAGCTTTATCATCCTCATCAGCAGCATCATCATCCTCATCATCATCAGCGCCAGCATCAGAAGCATCAACGCCATCACCATCATCAGCACCATCAGCGTCGTCATCATCATCAACAATATCTTCATCAGCATCAACATCATCAGCATCGTCATCAAGATCATCATCAGCAGCAGCGGAATCATCATCAGCATGATCATCATAGTCGTCACCATCACCATCAGCATCATCACCAGCAGCAGCGGAACCACCACCACCATCATCATCAGCAACATCATCAGTATCATCCGCATCACCAACGTCGACATCAACAGCATCATCATCAGCGTCAGAAGCATCATAATCATCAGCAGCAGTATCAGCTCCATCATTATCATCAGCACCATCAGCATCATAACAAGCATCATCAGTATCATTATCATAATCAGCATCCTCATCCTCATCAACATCAACATCATCAGTCGCATCATCACTACCACCACCACCATCGTCATCGTCATCGTCATCAACGTCCTCGTCATCCTCAGCATCGTCATCGGCATCACCATCAGCAGCATCATCTCCATCGTCACCAACATCATCAACATCATCATCATCATCATCATCATCATCATCATCATCATCATCATCATCATCATCATCATCAGTTTCCCCCTCCTCCTCCTCCTCTTCCAGGCTGCCATGTCGGTGCGGTGCCCCCCGCTGGGGCGAGGGGCGGGCGCATCCTTTTGGCCCCGGCCAACTGCCCGCAGTCGGGTGCTGATGCTCCTGCCGCGTGCGGGCCGGGAGCCGCTGCCCAGCCGGGCGCAAGCTTGCCCGCCGTGTGCAGGCCTCCGCCCGCCGAGAGCTCAGGCTCGACGCGGCTCGGCGGCTGCCGAGGGGGGCGCCACGGCGAGCAGAGGACCATGCAGGCCTCGGGTGCTCGTGCTGGCGGCGCAGGTGGTACTGAGCAGACGAAGGCCCCGCCGTGGCAGCAGCAGCAGCAGCAGCAGCAGCAGCAGCAGCAGCAGCAGGGCAGGGGGCCCTGGGCTCGCAAGGCCACCAAGGTCTCAAGAGCAATTCCGCCACGACGCGGGCGCGACAAGGACGGCAGGCGCAGCGGCAGTCCGCCGCCCTCCCGCGGTGCTCGTTCTCGTGCTGCTCGTGGCGGTGATAGCCAGGCTGCTCAGCCTGCAACCCCTGCCTCAGAGGTGGTGCGCTGCAGGCGTGCTGTGCCGTGCAGTCCCTGCGCAGGCTGCGCTACGGCGACTCCGACGAGGTCATGCAGACGGCCACGGCCGCGCTGACTCCAGCAGAGCAAGAGGAGCGGCACGCCTGGCTCCAGAAGACGTATCGCAAAGTTCCCTGGATCGACTCGGGTCCAAGGAGGCGGAGCATGACAAGCTCCAGCAGAAGGTGGTGGACATGGAGCCCAAGCTCGGCAAGGCGATGTCCAAGCTGGAGGCCGTGGGCAAGGACATCGCCGTGAACAAGGCGAAAGCAGCCATGCCTGCGTCGCCGCCGGCAGCGGAGCAGACCTGAAGACCGTGGCCGCGGCGGTGCAGGGCCTCCAGAACACCATCCCAAGCGCCCACCAGTCGATCCAGCAGGGCCAGTCGCGTGATGCGGTCGGCGGCCAGCTCCTCGACTCCGAGGTAGCCAACATTCAAGATCTCGGGTGGTTTCCACCTGGACTTGCAACAGCGGGCGCGGCCACCGTGGTCAAAGGCATCGGCAAAGGAGATGCTTTGCGCCCCCCACCAGCAGCTGCCAATCCACAAGGAGAAGCTTTTCGACCACCAGCTCCAGGCTCCACCATCGAGGGCACCATGGAGACGGACACCCCCGCAGCCTG